AGATAGCTGGTACTTTAATCAGACACTTGGATATGGAAATGTAGGTGCCCCGATTGGCAAGTTAAGCTACTGTACCAAATGCCCATACAATAAATAAGAACTACTCAGTATCTCTTATTGTCCAAAAATTCTTGTAAAATCTGTGTAGGTATTTGTAGTTTAAAATATCTGGGGAAATGTTCATTTAAATGATTGAGATATTTTCCTACTCTGCTTTGTTTTATTTAGTAAGTGGTATCTCTGTAAAAACCCCTTGGAAGTTTATCAGAGCTTCTGTCTATTATCAGAGTTAGTGATCATGACTTTATACACTGGCATTGCCGTATCTGCTCGATAGATGAAGAAAGGCAGACCCTGAGAGGAGAAGAGGCTTATGCAAGTAGAAAAGCAAAACCTATAATCCAGATCCTCAAAGTCCTATCCAGAGTTGTTGCCATGATTCCTTTCATGGACATAAGGTAAAATAACAAATAAATAAAAGGAAAATGAAAAACATAGAGTGTTATTAACTCAATGATTAACAGAGAACTCACTTTTTTTTAAAAGCAAAAGTCATTGTTGTATCTTTTCAGTTTTGAAATTTCAGTAGCTTCCCTTTGACCATTATGAAGTTAAAAATTAGAAGTTATTGCTCTAATCTCCTGTGATTCCCTACACAAACCCTAAATTAAAAAAAAAAAAAAACAGGACTGACTGAAAACAAACCTATAAACATAGCAATCTTTCCATGCCTCTATGCCTTTCTTGTAGTTTTTCCTCCAAATATCCTTAACCCCCTTTCAATATCTATCATATCTGACCCCTATTTTGCACTAAATTTATCAAATATCAATATAAGGCTTTCTGTGTGCTATTTACTATTTGAAAAGATTCACAAATGCTAGTTTAGTTAACCTCATATTAACCCTAGGAGGTTAGTAATAATATCCCATTTTACAGATGAAAAAATTGTAGTACAGAAATTGAAGAACTGAGGCCAAAAGTTCAGAAAGAGGAGTCTGTTTCAAAGTGGGTACTCTTAACCATTACACTGTGTTACATATGCAGCAAAAATTTCAAATTTGAAAAGTGTATCAAATTCAACAAACACTGATGTCTAAAATGGCATGCTACCAAAAGCCTCCCAGTTGTGGAATTCATTACATTATAAATCTACCATCATCTGGAGCCTCGCTCTTATATTTTCAGCCTGAGAAACTTGATAGTTTTCAGCAATAACACCAACAACAGATCCTTTTCTTGGGAGTAGACTAACGATGACTCAGCTCATGAGATTAATATTTCAAACTAGAATGCCAGGATATTAATTTATAACAAGGAATAATAGAACTGTCTATCACATGGAGCAGAGTACTCAGGTCAGCATGGCCAGCCCTCTCTGCTTCTCAACAACCTTGAAAATTCAGATCATTCTTGGCAAGTAGTTTGGTCAACGCATTATTATAACTGGGGACATTCCTTGTATGAGCTTAATGTTCATCAGCATCAACTAGGTTAGTGTGAGCCATTTATATCAAGGTAACAATGGGCTTGACAAGGGGACATGAAGAAGCTGAAATTCATTTGCCCTGTGTCTGGAACATTGCTAGGCTGTCACTGACACCTGTGTTTTCCTTTCAATTCTTTTTCAAGATTCCAGTGTCTGGCCATCCTTTCCTTTTCTGTTTTGTTTTTTTTTTCTTTTTAATTGTATAGTCATATAGTCAGTTGAATTGTAATGAAACCTGTCAGCCTGAGTCCTTTTCTAGCTCTCTAAGATGGACATTGTGTAATTGTGTTTTCAGGTAATATTTTCTTTTTGTTGATATTCTCAATGACAAAAATACAGCATTTCTTAAACTGAATTATATGATAAATTTTCTTAAGATAAAAGACTAAGTCATATTCATTTTTTCTATTCCCCAAAGAAAGTTCATTTCATAGCACCAAACAGGGCACCTGTGGATGTTTGTTGAGTAACAAAAGTGAATTAATGCATTTTGACTGTGAGCTCTGAAACCAGGTCGTCTGATTTCAAATCACAGCTCCAAAATTTAATGGTGGTATGACTTTGGCAAGTTATTTAACCTTTCTAAACATTAGCGTTCTCATCTGTGAAGTGAATGTAATGATAGTACCCTATCGCCCAGGATTTTTGAGATGGCTAAATACATTAATACATGTTACAAAGTTATAAGTGTACCTGGAATTCCATAGCTATCAGCTACTAGTATCAACATTCTCTCAGAATTTGATAGTATTTTTTAACTTATGTTTTCTAAAAGTGTAACTTGCTTTGAAAAGAGTACAGTTGCTTCATGAATTACATGTCATCATTGAATGATTTATAAAATATCCATTATTTTTGTTATAAGAATTCAGTAAAATGGAAACTCCCATGTATTGCTGGTGGGAATATGTCATAATACAACCTTTATGGAATGCAATTTGGCAATATTTATTAAAAGCTTTGCAAAAGTTCATTCCCTTTAGTCCAGTAACTCCCCTTTTAAAAATTTATCTGTTCAAAAGATGCGGTCAGACATTTGGATTAAACTTAAGCTCGTGGAAATGGTTTGTCACAATCTCATTTGTCAAACCCCTAGGTGAAAATCTCTTAAATGACAAGCAGCAGATTATACAAAATATGTCATATCATTTGATGGAATATTATGTAGCTCTCAAAATGGTGTCATTAATATTATTAGTAGTGTGAGAAATTCCAAAAATAATTTTTAAGGGGGGAATAGGATAATCTACAAAATTATATAAGTGGTATGATTTACTCTGCACTTAAAAAAAATTTATCATTCAAGCCGGCGCCGCGGCTCACTAGGCTAATCCTCCACCTGCGGTGCCAGCACACCGGGTTCTAGTCCCAGTGGGGGCGCCGGATTCTGTCCCGGTTGCCCCTCTTCCAGGACAGCTCTCTGCTGTGGCCAGGGAGTGCAGTGGAGGATGGGCCAAGTCCTTGGGCCCTGCACCCCATGGGAGACCAGGAGAAGCACCTGGCTCCTGGCTTCGGATCAGCGCAGTGCGCTGGCGGCAGTGGCCATTGCAGGGTGAACCAAAGGAAAAGGAAGACCTTTCTTTCTGTTTCTCTCTCTCTCTCACTGTCCACTCTGCCTGTCAATAGCTAATCTTCCGCCTGCGGCGCCGGCACCCCAGGTTCTAGTCCCGGTTGGGGCACCGGTTCTGTCCTGGTTGTTCCTCTTCCAGTCCAGCTCTCTGCTGTGGCCCGGGAAGGCAGTGGAGGATGGCCCAAGTGTTTGGGCCCTGCACCTGCATGGGAGACCAGGAGGAAGCACCTGGCTCTTGGCTTAGGATCGGCACAACGCTACAACCACTTTGGGGGTGAGCCAATGGAAGGAAGACCTTTCTCTCTGTCTCTCTCTCTCTCTCTCTGTCTAACTCTGCCTGTCAAAAAAAAAAATATATATATATATATCATTCAAAATAAAGGTGATTAGCTTTAGATAAAGCAACTACAGAGGACTTCTGATGTTTTTTTCTTTCTGATAATTTGCCTTCAAAAATATCTTCCATGAGTATGTTTTCTAGAACTAAAAATAGTTTCTTCAGAATTATGGCTTTTTGTTTTTTAGAAGTGTGATTTTAAGACATTGAATATTAGTTAAATTTAAGTTTTATCATATTCAAGATCTAAATTTTTTTAAGATTTATTTATTTATTTAAAAATCAGAATTACACAGAGAGAGAAGGAGAGGTAGAGAAAGAGAGAGAGGTCTTCGACCTGCTGGTTCACTCCCCAATTGGCCGCAACAGCTGCAGCTTAGCCGATCTGTAGCCAGGAGCTTCTTCAGGGTCTCCCATGCAGGTGCAGGGGCCCAAGCATTTGGGTCATCTTCTACTGCTTTACAAGGCCATAGCAGAGAGCTGGATCTTAAGTGCATCAGCTGGAACTTGACCTGGCGCCCATATGGGGTCCTGGAACTGCAGGTGGCAGCTTTACCTGCTATGCCACAGCACCGGTCCCATCAATATCTAAAGTTTTAAGTGAAGCATCACTTCAGTTGTATGTCAAAAGTAAGAAGACAGGATTCCTTTAATAAAATATTTTTTTAGAAAACCTTGCACTTATATTTATGTGGGTAAATAACAGTACAAATTTATAGGAATGTATGCTACTACACTTTGAATAATTTGTGACTTTTAAAATTTGCTTTATATGAGTGATGTTGAATACCTTTTCCTTTGATTATTGTGTAATGCTCTTACATGTTTCACTGTTGGACTGCGGTCTTTTTACTTTTTTATTTCTTGAACTCTTCGTTTAGTGGAGCCTGTAAGCCTTTGACTATAATGTAAGTCAAAAATATGTTATCTCTAAAGAATTAAATTTTAAAAGTAAGTATTTTGTGACATTTTTTAAAATACATTATTTATTTTGAAAATTTTTGAAACAAGATGAACATCTACCTTTGAACTTCATAAAGAAATCAGTTTATATATGCCAGTTCTTTGGCTGTACTTAATTTAGTATTTAGTAATAATTCCTTAAAGAATCTTTGAAGAAAAGAGAGGCTTGGGACCCGCATTGTGGCATAGCAGATGAAGCCACCACCTGCAGTGCCAGAATCCCATATGGGTGCCGGTTTGAGTCCTGGCTGCTCCACTTGTGATCAGCTCTCTACTGTGGGCTGGGAAAGCAGTGGAAGATGTCCCAAGTCCTTAGGCCCCTGCACCCATGTGGGAGACATGGAAGAGGCTCCTGGCTCCTGGCTTCGGATTGGTGCAGCTCCAGCCATTGCAGCCATCTGGGGAGTGAACCAGCAGATGGAAGACCTCTCTCTCTGTCTCTCTGCCTCTCTGCCTCTCTGCCTCTACTTCTCTCTTTGTGTAACTCTGACTTTGAAATGAATAAATAAATCTTAAAAAAAAAAAAAAAAGGAGAGGCTCTTCCACTAACAATAACAGATCATTGTTTTTAATTGGAAACATAGTTCGAATTTTCAACTTCTTGGTTATTGATGAGATCTGTTTTTCTCTTTGTAACCTAGGAGCTGTGAAGGAAGAAATATCCGCTATAGAACATGTAGTAATGTGGTAAGTACAAGACTCAGCGATTGTGATCCTATAATTTTTTTTTTTTTTTTTAGCACTGAGTAGTGCTGAGAAGTTTTATGTATTCTGAACAGGGAATCGATCTATTTTTATTTCACTAAAAATTGTTTATTTCATGCTATACTGGTTATGCAGCATTAAAAATGGTATTTTTAATGTTATTCAAAGTAAACTTTTAAATAACTTGACCAGACTGAAGTTAACTAGACTGTTCCAAAACAAGGACTCTCTGCATTTCCTCCCTGCTTTGTCTTTTCACAGATAAGTCTCATGAGAGATAAGAGATATGATAAAAAGAGAAATAATTTGGGGTATCAGGAGATAAATATTTGTTAATTAAACTCAGATTTGACAAATTGATTTATTCGTTCAATAAATATTATTCACTGTGTGAAATGCAAATTAGTACAAAGATAAACAATATAGAGTGATTATTTTAAAACATCTTTAATACAGTAAGTGCTGTAGGAAAGGAAAATAGGTGTGCCCTTAACCATATTCTAGAGTGAAATATGACCGATACTGTAAGAAAAAAAGTAGAAAGTTCTTTGCAAGTTAAAATAAATCAAAAGGTCTTAAAGGAAAAAAATGACTTGAGATAGGTCTTGGAGGCTGTGACTAACCCATTTTGGGTGTGTGGGGATGACAATCAGTCCAAGTACAATGGACATAATAGGTAACTTTGAAGGCAGGGCTATTTAAGGTGTCTTCTAAGCAACAATTTTGATGAGATAATGCATAGCAGTATGGAAAATTAAAAATTTGAAGAAATTTTAAGGTTGTATCATAAGGATATTTGAATGTTGGGCTTCTAGGTTTTCATTTTTTTAACTTTTATTTAGTAAATATAAATTTCCAAAGTACAGCTTATGGATTACAATGGCTCCCCTCCCCCCATAACTTCCCTCCCACTCACACCCCTCCCATCTCCCGCTCCCTCTCCCAAGGTTTGCATTAGTGTAGTGAATAATGAAGTCATTAGAGGATTTGCAATGAAAATATGATTCTGTAGAATTTAACTTTAGGATGTTTATTCATGTGAAAATTACCCAGGAACAGAAAATGTCAGTAAAAAGCAATGAGAAAGTAAGCTAGGGGAAAGAGACACAAGATGGATCAACGGTAAGGTTACTCTGCAAGACTTGACAAACATTAGATATTAGAGTGATGTGATGGATGGGAAGAGAATATAGGAAAAAAAAGATACATGCATATTTAGAGCCTTTGTACTCACTGAACCTGCTGTTCAAGAAGTTCTTTCCTAAAGATTTATGTGCTTGGCATTCTTCGTATTCAAGTTTCAGTTCAAGTGTCACCTCCTCAAAGTGGCTTCATTGACCACCTTTTCTGATGTGTTTGTCTTATTACTCATCACCATCCTTCCCAACAGCCATTCATTTTTTTCTTTCTTTAAAACCAAACTTATTTTCTCTCTACCAACATTTGTCTTATTTTGATCACTTGCTTTCTGTTTCCCCACTGGAGCATGTAAACTCCATGAGGGCAAGAGCCCTGTTAGTCTCATTCACTCCCTATCCCCAGTACGTAAGACTGTAGACTAATGCATGGAGCATGTATATTTGTTGAGTGCAAAATTAGTATTCAGGCTTCTGGAAACATGTTAAATGCCATTATCAGAAACAATCAAGTTGGGAGAGTATTAGAGGCAGGAAAATAATAAACTCTATTAAGGAACACTATTGAGATTGACTTGGAAGGCTAGACTTGTAATTGATATATTCAACTAGGACATGAAGTTTTGATGTGGGAAAGAGGTCAGAGCTCAACCCTTAGAAACACAGAGTACGAGACACAAAGTCTGAAGACTTGGAACCACATGTCAGGTATGGAATACAGAATGGTGAGAGAAGGGAACCTTGGACTTTTGTTAAAAAGCCTTCAGATGGAAAGAAGAAATAGAATTGTGTGAGCCACAAAAGCACAAAGAATTCCTGAAAGACATTCAATAGGATAAATGTTGCTAAGAGGTAAGAGACAGAGAAAGAGAGAGACAGAAAGACAGAGAGAAAGAGAGAGGGAAGTTTCTACAATGTGTTAAAAACAAAAGCAAGAGTGGAAGGAGTAAGAAGTGTATAATGAGGGGGTGGAGTGGGTGAACATGAGTTATTTTCTTGGTCTGTTTTATGCAGCTATAATAGAAGAGCAGACTAGGTAATGTATACACCATAGAAGTTTATCATTCTTGAGGCTTAGGAGAGCAAGAGCATGGTGCAGGCCCCTGGTGAGGACTTCAATGCCGCATCGTGACATGGCAGAAGGGCAAGCAGACAGGTGCAAGATAGAAAAAACAGGCTGATTCATCCTCCTTATCAGGAACCCACTTGTGCAATGATTAACTCACTCCCATCATAAAGAAATTAATCCAGGCACAAGGGTGGGTTGTTTGCAGGTTGGCTGGTTTCTAATGAGGGACCCCTGAGAAATGAATTGAAATAAGATCGAAGTCAGTGAACTCAAGAGGCTTCCATAGCCTTGGAAAGTCATGACTAGAACCTAGGGAAATTTCTGACACCATAAACAAGAGTGTCAAATTGTTAAGTCAACAGCAGGAGTCACTGTGTACTGACTCCTCATGTGGGATCTCTGTCCTTAATGTGTTGTCCGATGTGAATTTATGCTATAACTAGTACTCAAACAGTATTTTACACTTTATGTTCTGTGTGGGTGCAAACTGATGAAATCTTTACTTAATATATACTAAATCTATCTTCTGTATATAAAGAGAATTGAAAATGAATCTTCATGTGAATGGAATGGGAGAGGGAGCGGGAGATAGGAGGGGTGCGAGTGGGAGGGAAGTTATGGGGGGAAAGCCATTGTAATCCATAAACTGTACTTTGGAAATTATATTTACTAAATAAAAGTTTTTAAAAAATTAAAAAAGAAAAAAGAAATAAAAGTAGAAACTGATAAGAGGAGGAGGTAGAAGCAAACTGAGAAAAAAAGGTGAACATAGAAAGATTTTATTTTTTAAAGATTTATCTATTTGAGAGTCAGATTTACACACACACACACACACACACACAGATCTTACATCCACTGGTTCACTCCCAAAATGGCTCATTAATTCTGGATCTTTGCACTCTCCCTACTCAGATATCATATACATTTAAGATACCATTAGTACCATCTCATCTGTATTCTGGGCTTCGGCAACCTTCAATGGTCCCTCTTCTCTCCTCCTGTTTCAGAGGTGAGCTGGATTGCTGCTAAGCTTTAAAATCTGACTCGCCATGTTCTTCCTAAGACCACACTCTCTAACCTCACTTTAATTCTCTTTGATGCCCTGCCATTATTTTACTTTGTTTTGTTGGCTTCTACCCAATTTCTCCCATGGCTATTCTGGGCACTTTCTGAAGTCCTATGTGTCTTCTTTATTTTCAGTAGATGACTTAAGACATTTATAGAAAAGCTTGTACTTGTTCATCATGAGCAGTCTCAACTTCTTCTTTTCAAATATTTCTGTGTATGGCCAGTGCTATGGCATGGCGGGTAAAGCTGCTGCCTGTGGTGCTGACATCCCATATGGGCACCTGTTTGAGTCCCAGCTGCTCCACTTCTGATCCAGCTCTCTGCTATGGCCTGGGAAAGCAGTAGAAGATGGCCCAAGTCCTTGGGCCCCTGCACCCATGTGGGAGACCCTGAAGAAGCACCTGGCTCCTGGCTTCGGATTGGTGCAGCTCTGGCCATTGTGGCCAATTGGAGATTGAACCATCGGATGGAAGACCCCTCTCTCTCTCTCTCTGCCTCTCCTCTCTCTGTGTAACTCTGACTTTCAAATAAATAAATAAAAATTAAATGTAGTTTTAAAATATTTATTTGAGTTTTTTGAAGATTTAAAATCAGAGTTAGAGAAGCAGAGACAGAGAGAAAGATCTTTTATCCACTGGTTCACTCCCCAGATGGCTCAATGGCCAGGGCTGAGCCAGGTCCCAGCCAGGAACCAGGAGATTCTTCCAGGTCTCCCACATGGGAGTAGGGGCCCCAGCACTTGGGTCATCTTCTGATGCTTTCCCTGGCCATTAAAAGGGATCTGGATCAGAAGTGGAGCAGCCAGGATGAAAACCAGTGCTGATATGGGATGTTGGCATCACAGGTGACAGCTTTACCTGCCATGCCACAGAGTTAGCCCATAGTTTTTAACTATTTTAAAAAGACACAGACTCTCTATTAGAAGTAGTATGAAAAGTTTTTTTGATGAAGATATGCTTTTGCTCATTTGCTTTTTTATTATAGTCATATCCTAAATAGCATTTTTTTAATTCAACTATGATGTTATAGAATCTCTTTAAATTATAATTCTTTCAAACTTTTAGAATAGTGGAAAGGGTTCAAACCATCCTAAGTACATGAATACCTAAAGAATCATGAGCAGATGTCTGCCTGTTCTTTCCTTAAATTTCTTCAAAAACAGCCCACAACTTCCTTGCTATTGTTATCAGCATTTTCATGGCCATAGGCAGGCTGAGACTCTGACCTAATATTACTTAAAACCCATAGCATTACACAAGCCAAATCTTTACAGCTTATAGTATCAAACTGACACTGAATTTTTTATGAGAATCTAAATTCTTCAAATAATTTGAAGAATTTTTTTCTAGATACTGGCCATGACAGAAATATTACTGCCAAAAAACAAAAACAAAAACAAAAATCTTTTATAAGAAAGGTTCTCTTCATAATCACGTTCTAGTTTTTCAAACTAATGAGTTCAAGACATTTCAGTTAAATATTCTGACTTAGATATTTAATTTGGAAAAACTGGAGAATCTCTTAGCCAAGCCTACAGGTCACTCTGTAATCCCTGGACAACTTCCTGGGGGCACTTTTGGACCATTTTGCTTTCAAAGATTTGACCTCTTTTCCTATTGTTTTGTAGATCTGTTACATATAAAATTTATTTGGGTTCTTATTCCCAAGGGCCAGCTGAGAGACAGGAAACCTTTCCCTGGTTTCCCAAT